ACCATGGACTGTTCTCCCTGCTGCCCTCTGGGAAGAGGCTTCCCAGCATTCAATGCAGGACCAGCAGGTTCTGCAGCAGCTTCTTCCCCACCACCATCACACTGAGGAACTGCTGAGAAAACTCTAAATCACAGACTCTGCATCACACTGATGACACCAAACCAACAATACTGCAGATTAGCACCATAGATATTAATGCTCTGAACTTTCATATGTTTACACACTGATTACATTTGATCACTGCTGCACTTTATGGATGGAAATGTTAATTTCACTGCTAAGCTGCTGCTCATTTACTGTCTGAAAGCTAAATAAAAGGACATTAAAGTTGTCTTTAAGTCTAAGTGTTGGCAAAATAAATCATTGCGATTATCACAAATCAAGTCATTAACTAGAAGACTTTTTGAAGAACAAACTTATGTTGAATAAACGGCATTTAATCAATTTATCTTTTTCCTCAATTGGAGTTATTTTTCTTTTAATTAGATTATCATGATTTATTTTTTCTAACTTGATTGATTTTGGCAATGGAGAATATCTGGATGCATCTCCTCAACACATCAGAATCTGAGTTACAAAAAACAAAACATAAAGACCCAGCAGAACCGTTTGACGGTGGATCAGAACCCTTTGTAGCTTCAGAAGCTAAATGTTTAAAAACGTTTGTCTCATTGCATAAAGATGAAGTATGGACAGCCGTCCGTTTAGAGACCCCGAGGACCGTCCTTATCTTCCTGGAATGTTAATGTTGATGTTCTCAGCATGGAGCCGAGATAAAGAGACAAAAATAATGTTTAGAGGACAGAGGATAGATACACAGGCTAAAATAAGAGCTGAAGGAGTGAAGGGTGGTGAGACAGAGCCTGCAACATCTGCTGACATTAACCCGTCTCCAGTTGACTGCAGAACAATCAGCAGGGGGCAGCAGTAGCATCGCCGTTGGGTTACAACAGCAGAGGATTCTAAAGAACTGCAGACCGTTCTCCTTCTGTTCGCACAGGTTCTCACCGAGTGAAAATGGTTCAATCTGAGGACCAGTTTAACCAGTCTGAACATTTCATCTTCATCAACACCACAGTTTCTGAGTGGGTGGCAACATCAAAAAGAGGTTGATGCTTGAACCTTTCAGCTAACCAAGAGGCTAAAGCGCTGTGATTAGTTTGGAGAGCTTGTGGTAAACAGGTTCTGCTCTCAGACCTTCAGAGCAGCTTCAGGTCTCTGAAGCCTCCAGCCCAGGTTCTGTTAAGAGTTCTGCACAGGTTCTACGGAGGCCTCAGTGAGGCCAGACTTCACAGACATAGTTGCATCTGAGGAATGATGATGTGTCACAGCCTGAGCTGCTTCTGCGAGCTCCATATCTCCTGTCTCTTATCTATTGAGTGTTTCTATTTCAGCTCTCTACCATACTTGGTCAGCTTTCGCTGCTTGGTGCTCGTGTCCCTCCTTCTGGCTTTCCAGTCCGTCTGCTGGCCGGTATAAAACAGGCTGCGAGGTGCTCCCTCCATCTCTGCTGCAGCATGGCTCCAAAGAAGGTGGAACCAAAGAAGGTGGAGGTGAAGAAGGTAGAAGCAAAGAAGGAGGAGCCCCCACCTCCTGTCAAGCCAGTGGAGCCAGAAACCAAACCTCCAGAGGTGGACCTGAAGAGCATAGTGGTGGAGTTCTCCCCTGACCAGATTGAAGAGTTCAGAGATGCCTTCTCTCTGTTCGACGAGACGCCTGGCGGCGAAATGAAGATCACCTACGCTCAGTGCGGTGATGTCATGCGGGCGCTCGGACACAACCCCACCAACAGCGAAGTACTGAAGCTGCTGGGGAGGCCCAAGGCTGAGGAGATGAATGTGAAGATGCTAGACTTTGACGGCTTCCTGCCCATGCTGCAGCACGTAGCCCGGTCCAAGGAGCAAGGCAACTTTGAGGACTTCGTCGAAGGTCTGAGGGTCTTTGACAAGGAGGGTAACGGAACTGTGATGGGGGCGGAGCTTCGTCACGTCCTGGCCACGCTAGGAGAGAGGATGACCGAGGATGAGGTGGACCGTCTCATGGTGGGACAAGAGGATGCCAATGGACATATCAACTATACAGAGTTTGTCAAGCATGTCCTAGCTGGCTGAACCCAGAGGGAACGTTGGTCCTTCTCCAATAAAACCTCTGACTCTGACTTCTGACTCTTGTATTTATTGTGTCAGACTGAGGTTCTGAGTCCGAACCAGTGATTAAAGTAGATGTCCTGACAGTAGTAAATGAAAACATGTCTGCGGTCAAAGAGCTGCACTTATAATAATAATACATTTTATTTAACAGCGCCTTTCTTGACACTCAAGGTCACTTTACAAATAATACAAAAGATAAATAAAAAGAGATTAAAAACACTAAATACAGATACAGGAACATAAAAAAAAAACAATCATGGATAGGGAAAAGAGCAGTGTATTCACAGATAAGCGATCTGGAACAGATGGGTTTTGAGTCTGGCTTTGAATAAGTGGAGAGAGTCAATACTGCGGAGGTCGGGAGGAAGTGAGTTCCAGAGCTGGGGAGCAGAGCGGCTGAAGGCTCTGCTCCCCATGGTGACAAGTCGAGCTGGGGGTGCAGTGAGGTGGATGGAGGAGGAGGATCTAAGGGAGCGGGAGGAGGTGGCAATGTGAAGGAGGTTATAACCAGGTTTTACAAGGAAAGAAAACCTCATTAAGCAGGATATAGATGGTTCCTCCTGTTAGCAAACTAAATGTTGTCTGCTTCATAAACACAGTTAAACCTGAGCATTTTTAACAAAAGGTCTCAGAGCTTAAAATCCACATTTTTTAGATCTTCAGAACACAGAACAACTTCATGGTTCCGTATCAGCAGAGTCTGTAATGACAGTAATCAGGGTGTTTGGCCAGCTCTGCAAAAACTGAAGATGTCTGGTCCCTTCCTGCTCTGCAGTAACAACACCGCGACACATGGACTATTACCGTCACTACATGGTTTTCAGTCTGAAATGCAATGAAACTTTCTTTACAGATAAAAACAGAAAGCAGTCCAAGTTTAATTGGAATCAAAAATAAAGATGCGGCAGAAACACAATAAACAAATATCAACTATTTGAATGTTTTTTGCAGAACTAATCAGTGAGAATTAATGAGAAAACAGATTAATTATAACAGTGAAGGAAAAGATGCTTCCTTTCAGTCGCTGAGCTCAGTAGGTAAAATAAGAGCAGGCATTTCATACACGTCCCCACATCTAAAAGACAGATATTAAATTCATCTGAAGCAGAGACCAATCCTTGAATGAACTGTATTATAACAAACTTATACCTTTAGTTTGAAAAAAATAATGGCTCTTTAACAGAACACTATGGAAAGTGGTGGATTAGTGGTTAGGGGCATACAGCTTTGAATCCGCCCAATCACAGACACTCTGGTTTAGCAGTTCAGTCGATCACCCTTGAAGGGGGTTTGGGTCCAGCGATGACCTGACAGCTGATGCGGCGTGCGTCACTCTGAGTGTCCCCGGTGCTGCAGCTCAGGAGGATTAGCAGGAAGCTGATCCTGGTCAGGGATACAGAACAGGCAGGATCCAGGCTTCCAGGCATCGTAGAGCTCCCAGGCAGGTTCAGAGTCTGACAGGATCCGGAAGGAGCAGACAGGATCAGGTGCATCAATTGGGCAGGCTCAGTGGTAGAGGGTAGCAGAGACAGGACGTGGAACCAGAACTTGATGCAGGACCTTTAAACTGGTCTCCTCCTTGGAGCCAGGCTTACTGGAATAAAAACTGATCCTCCCCGCATAAAGAGCCGAAAACCCTGAGGACTCAGCAAGGGAGGAACAGTGGACGATCAGGAGACGAGACAAACACAAAAACCCTCTTTCCACTGGCCGCCAGGATCCAGGACTTGACCCGTGGAATAAAACTAAAAACACTCAGACTAACAGGAAAACAAATGAAATGATCTGGCCCCGGAAGCTTAGGCTGAACTGAATATAAAGCAAAGGAAACAGGTGTGAAGAATAAATGATAATTAAGGCTGGAAGGGAAAACGGCAGGTGAAAGAAATAAACAATTAAGGTAGAGCAATCAGGCCAGATCATGACAGGCAGTGTGCAAAATACCTGTCAATAATTGGGGGGGTCCCCATCTCCCGATTGTTGCGCAATACCGACCTAAATTTTCTCAATATGCAGTAGGCCTATAACATTACAACGTCAAAGTCAGCTTTAATGTAAATTCTTCAGATTCACCAGACATACAAGGACTGGAGGACGTTTTTCATTCACCAATAGTGAAACAGATAAAGGCACAACTGATAAGATCAGTTCCTAATACTAACATTTAAACATTCAATTTTACAATAAAATATAAAATGTTCATTAATATAAAATATGCAATACTTATGCTAGTGCAAAAAGGCAGATGGTAATGGCAGCAGAAAAATATTATTACCAATTATGTAAGATATATTTGTAACAGTAACAGTGCAAAAGAACTGGCTGGACTTCTTGTGGTTGCCGTCCTGGTTTCCAGGAAGAAGAGAGGCGAAGTCCTGCTTTAATCCAGTTTCTGACGAATGGAACTGGGTCGAATTTGTCCAGAGGAGGTCCGTCGAGGTCCATAAACAGGAGCGAAGACCTGCTGTCTTCAGCAATCTGTTGCATTGCCCGTGTTATTAACTGCAGAAAAGCACAAGGCTAATTTACATACGTGAACAGGATTGGCTGGCTCCACTTGGCAAAAAACAGAACATATTTGTGAATAAAGGTTTTGAATTTTAAATACTGGACATGTTGTGCTTAAAAACATTTTAGTAACCATTAGTGACAAAAACATTTTTTTTATTTTTTTTTTACACAATTTAAGACCCCCTTTAAATGTTGCTTTTGAGGCTTTCGAGGGGTCTCTCATGGGTTAATGGGGGGGGGTTCCTAGCCCCCCGGACACCCCGTATTTCACACTCTGATGACAGGGATGGGTTAAATGCAGCAAGGGAATTTCATTGCTCCGTACTTGTGACAGTGGAAGTATAATAAAACACAGAAAAAAACAACATAAAGTTATTTCTGAAGCCGAACCCAGAAGCAGAGAAACTATAAATTAGGCCTTACAGGTGTCAGCTCGATACAACTGCAAACATCTGGACTTTTGGTTTAAAATTGTTTTATTATGCATGCTTGGGCTAAAAACCATATAAGTGCTGCCCCCTATAGGTTTAAATGTGGCATGTGCAGTTGATTTGTCATACTGGTTAATATTCTACATATTGAGAGATCACTTTTCTTCAGAGATGGGAACCAGGAAGTCAGAATGCCGTAAAGTTCCCCACTAGATGACATTCATTCATAGAGAATCTTAACAATGACCTTTAGACCATTCCATAATCTTTGGCATAAGTCACTGAGAAGCTCCTCAACCACAGGGTTCCCACACTGGAGGTTACAGGCACATCCTTTCCCATAGTAGATGTCATCAGAGTCTGGGACTTAAAGTGCAGAAAGTCTGGATTAGTTAAACCTGGTGTTGGTGTGTCCGTCGGTTTGTTACAGATAGAGAAAACTTAGTGGGTTCAAAAGATTTAGTTTTATTACAAACACCAGTGGACAGGGCAAGGGAAAATAAGGTAACAAAAGATCCAATTCAGTTAGGTCTGTGAAAATTAACTGAACTAAACAATCAGCCACATGGTTCCAGCTTCTGATTGGCTGGTCGTTCTTCAGGTAGAGCAGTTCAGTACCAGATGACGGCAAACAGTCAGAAACATGACTGGCTCATTCAGACCTCTTCAATAACCATTGGCTGGATCCACCTGTAGGATCCTCAGGTGGGAATTTCTCATCAGTCTTCATGTGGAGCTTCAGTTGGTTTTCATAGGACGATGACACAGCTAAGTTAGACCTTCAGGTCAAACTGAGAATGGGAATCTAGAGAGCAGCTCTTCATGACAACAGGGATCAAATCTTTATGGTTTAACTTCTCCAAAATCAACTCAGGTCCTGATTACACTTCTTGTATTTGATCAGGGCCACCGAGGGTGCAGACCAGGAAGCAGAGTTGTAGTTTAACACACATCTCTGAATCTTCTCTACTGTTACCCACTCTTTACTCCATCCAGACAGTGTCTTGCCCACGACCAAAATCTAATAAATCTAAAACATTAGCAAAGATTCCCAAAGGAGTAAATCATGATAATCTAATTAAAATCAAAATAACTCTAATTGGGGAAAAAGTTAAAACAATGAAATGCGGTCTGTTTAATATAA